ATTCTCAAAACATTTTCTCTCCACTTAAACCCCCGACATCAGCTTCTCATTTTTCCCCTCCCTCCCCGCTCCCCTCTCCCTCATGAGCCCTTGATAGTTTATAAATTGGTATTTTTTTTGATCAATTTATTGGGGCTCATACAATTCAACCCCCGACATTAGGTCCTCATTTTTCCCCTCCCTCCCTGCTCCCCCCTCCCTCATGAGCCCTTGATAGTTTATAAATTGGTATTTTGTCATCTTCTTTAGTAATGGACCTATCCATGTGTTACCCTCAATGCCGAAGCCAAACTCACTGCCATCAAGCTGATGCTGACTCAGCGATCCTGTAAGACAGGATAGAACTGCTCCTGTGAGGAACTAAACTGTACATACCTGCAGGTCCACCAGCAGTGGACGAGAGTTCCTGTCTCCCCACAGTCCCTCTAATACTTGTTACTTTCTGATTTTTTTGAATTGGGTTATCTTTGAGGGTGTGGTATCACATTGTTGTTTTAATTTGCATTTCTCTTATGGCTAGTGATTGGGAGCATATTCTCATACGTTTATTGGCCATTTGGATTTCTGGCCCTGTGAAACTTCTGTTCAGGTCCTTTGCCCACCTCCTCAGTGGGCAATTAGTTTTTTTCTTATTGTGAGCCTGCAAAGTATTGTAGATTTTAGTAATAAGGCCTTTATCTGATGTGTCATTGCTAAAGATGTTTCCCAGTCTATGGGTTCTTTCATTACTCTCTTGGTGAATTCTTTCGATGTACACAGGTGTTTATATCTTCAGTATATCCCACTTGTCAATTTGTGCCTCCTCTGTATTTGTGTCCATCCCTATTTCTGATAGCCTATGCCAAGGTCCTCAGGTTTGTCCCAATTCCCTCATCGATGGCCCTAATAGTTTAGGGTTTTATCTCAAGGTCTGTGATCCACCTTGAGTTTATTCTTATGCATGGAGTGAGGTAAGGGTCTTCCTTCATTTTTCTGCAGGTAGATATCCACTTTTTTCCAGCACCACTTCTTAAAGGCAGCATCCGCTTCCCATTTGATATTTTTGGGGCCCTTATCAAAAATCAGTTGTCCGTATGCTGATGTTTTTATTTCTGGGTTTTCAGCTCTTTTCCATTGTTCTGAATATCTGTCTTTATACCACTACACTGTTTTGACCACTGTTGCTAATAAAATGTGCTAAAGTCAGGTAGAGCAAGCCCTCCCACTTTGTCCTTCTTCTTAAGGAGTTTTCTACTAATTCTGAGCTTCTTCCTTCTACATATAAAGTTGGTAATGTTTTTCCAATATTTTGAAGAAGGATGATGGTATTTGTATCGGGATAGCATTAAACTTATATAGTGCCTTGGGCAGAAATGCATCTTTACTATATTGAGTCTTCCAATCCACAAGCATGGGATCTTTTTCCATTTGTTGAGATCACTCTTGGTTTCTTGTAACAGTGTTCTGTAGTTTTCCTCATACAAATCTTTTTTTTTTAATCTTTTGTTTTTTTTAGTCAGGTATATCCCTAGATATTTCCATTTGTGCTTGGCTATTGTAAAGGGTACTACCTTTTTAATTGCCTCTTTTGTGATCTTGTCTGATGTGTATAGCAGACTGATAGACTTCTGTTTGTTGATCTTGTATCCTGCCACTCTGCCATATTCCTCTATTGCTTCCAACTTGTGAAGTTTTGGGGATTTTCTATATATAAAATCATATTGTCTGCGAATAACAATAGTTTTGCCTCTTCATTCCCCAGGCGAATACCTTTGATGTCTTCTCTTTGTCTTATGTTGTTAGCCAGGACCTCCGGTATGATGTTAAATAGGAGTGGGGACAAGGGGCATCCTTGTCTGGTCCCCTTTTTCATTGAAATTATTGGTCTTTTCTCCATTGATTACCACGTTGGCCATTGTTTTTCATAAATAGCTTGTATAATATTGAGGAATTTTCCTTCCATTCCTATCTTCTTGAGTGTCTTAAACAGAAACAGTCGTTAGATGTTGTCAAATGCTTTCTCCGCATCTATGGATATTATCATGTGGTTCTTATGATTTTTCATGTCAATAATACTAATACTAATACTAAAATACTCATACTGATGGTCTTTCATATGTTGCACTATCCCTACATCCCCGGTATGAATCCCACTTGGTCCTGGTGAATTATTTTTTTTATTTGCTTTTGGCCAATATTTTGTTAAGGATTTTTGCATCAATGTTCATTAGGGACATTGGTCTGTAGTTCTCACATCTTGTGGGATCCTTGCCTAGTTTAGGTGTCAGAGTTATACTAGCTTCATAGAAAGAGTTTGGGAGTTTTCTGTCTTTTTCAAAGTTCTGGAAGAGTTTGTGTAGGATTGGTGTCAGTTCTTCCCTGAATGTTGGTAGAATTCTTCAGGAGGAATTCTTATTTGAACAGGATTAATAGTTGATCTGACTTACAGTTTTGAGGTACAGAGAGCAAGGATGCACAACAAGCAGCAGGGTCAGCGGTGACCACCGCGGCTGTGTTTCCTCCTCAGGTAGGCTGCCCTCCCAGCAGATCTCTTAGGGGCCTGACTGACGGACTGGCTCCCTCTGAAGGCACCTCCAGGATGATGGCAGGAGCCCATTTGTTCGTGGTTACTATCTGCTTCCTCAGATTGAACTGAATAAATCATGGGACCTGTGGTCAGGGTCTGCTGTCCAAAGTGTTTATGGAAGGATAGGGGGTTCTCCTGTGTGACCGTGGCAGAGCTGCCTAAGGCATCCTCTGGTGTAAAGAGCCGTACACGCCCCGCTTCCTGGTCTAGTCCAGTGTCCCACGTGCTTGCAAACTGCACTTCCATTGAGAATGAGGCTCAGACTGGGCCTGAACTTTGACTTCAGGTAGAAGACGGTGGTGAGAGTGGAGATCGAGTTCCATTCTGAACATTGCACTGTACCTATTCTCACGTAAGCTTTCCCTCACTTAAGGGTCTGGCATTGATTGGATATGTGTCCTAGCAACAAGGGCAAATAAATCTTTTAGACATGACTATGTATGTGTCTTTGTACACACACACTCACACACACACACACATTTTTATAGTATCAGGAGAAATGTGACTCAAACCAATAAAGTTGTGATAATTGTACTTTATGCTAAATCGATATATTTTGCTCTTACACAAGGGGAGAGCTCTCCTTTGAGTTTTCCTGTCAGAAAACTCATGGAAAATTTACATCGTCTTTAAGTTTCATTTTCCCATGAACTTACGGAAGCCCTCCTCGTATTTGTACAGACTCAGAACCTTTTTCCTTCCCCCCCCCATGTACCCCCCTCTATTAAATGTACCTAATATTAAACAAGAAGTACATGACCCTTCAATGTTAACCTCTAGTCTGCTGAGATTCAAACAACTGCCCTATTTATCACTTGTGCTGTCAAAGTCAACTGTTAGGTTTATTCACAATATTTTATTTCTACATCACAAAACATGTTCTAGCATTCAATCTATAGGTGAATATCAAAAATATCTAGGACAAGAAAGAGTTATGCATTACAGTAAAAAAAAAGTACTCTTATGCTTTCCTTTTGAGTCCACAATTTTAGAAAAATATATTATTGCATATGAAACCACAGACGTTCTGACTGCTGCACATTCTTGCTCCGAACAGTATATACAATTCTATTGGAGTCAGAGTGTAACACACATCCACACCGGGGGTTTTGTGTGGAGGGTCCGAGACGTACAGCGATATATATACACTTCTATATCACATCTCCTGGGCAGTGGCTTGCTTGTTTTCTCAGCGTGTATCCATCCAGGCTCTCCCTTGTTGGCCCGGGACACAGATGGTTTGAAGGTGGAGAGCCTGCCCTAGGCAGCTTCCTCAGCAGAGCAGTCGATACCTGCGTAGGTGAACTTCTCATAAAGTGTGGTGTTCACATAGGTCTGGAAGAACAAGAAGGGTTCAGAGATACAGGCTCCTAGATGTTGTGTCTGCCAGGGGCAGCAGCAGTCTTAGATGGGCTTTCTAAGCTTGTTTCAACTCAAGCACTAAGTACCTGCGAGATGCTTTTCTGGCCTTAATGCCTCTGTTGTGTTAGCCCGCTCTTCTTGAAATGCATCCCTTGGCTTCTGCCCTCTTTCCTAAGTTGCTCATCTTCTGTTTCTGGCTGCCTCTTATCGACTCCTTCTGAAATGTTCCAGTTCCCCAGGGCTCCTTCCCCTGTCCACTTCTCATTGTCAGTACTATACGAGTATGTTGTTCTAGTTGTGCCCATGATTTCTACAGAGATTTTATTTTTCCCCAAAGTGTAACTTCTCCAAGTTAGGGGCCAGCGAACACCTTCCATATGCACAATAATAAATGAAAACAAATAAGCAATCAAACCCGTTGCTGTCATAGCAACCCCATAGGACAGAGTGGAACTGCCCCCCCCCCAAGTTTCCAAGGTGGTACCCTTTCTGAAAACAGACTGCTACCTCGTTCTCCCACAGAGCAGCTAGTGGGTATCAATGGCCAACATGGCAGTCATTAGCTAAACAACTGACCATGGCCCCACCAGGCCCTTCCACCTTTATAATACCTAGAACTAGACCCAGAAGGACCTACTGAATTGTGTCCACTACATTTTCACCAGCTGCCCCTCAGGAATTCTGGTTAAAGGACCCCCACCTTGAGTGTCTCCTCACCTTTCGTTCTTCCAGCATCCTGTTTAAGGACACCAGTATCTGGGCAAAGGACGGCCTCTCATAGGGCTTCTCCCGCCAGCACTGCCTCATGAGATCATACCTTCAAAAATAAGAGTTCAAGGGTGAGTGCCGTGGCCGTGCCCCAGTCCATGCACAGACAAGTGCAGGACAGGACAGCAGAGAGGATGATGGAACCACTTCACTGAGTTTAGCCAGTCAAGTACAAAACCACAGCACCTAGATGGAAATGGAGATACCACTCAAACCTTGTCTTCAGGAATATTTCTTACTCTTGAAAAAGAATCCTAGTGGAAGCAAAATTCTGTAAAGAAAAACTTACCCCCCACTGTGTTACAGCTCTGACATCTCCACCCCAAGATGTCTCAAGATTTTATACATTTATTTATTCCTGAATATATTCCAGATCTATTTTGTGCTTTTTTTCTTTTTAAACATTTTATTAGGGGCTCATACAACTGTTATCGCAATCCATACACACATCAATTGTGTAAAGCGCATTTGTACATCATTCTCA